CTACTCCTTGCCTCCTTCTTACTGCTGTCTTTCAGCCATGCCACTAATCTTATGGTAGGAAAGATCTACACTTAACCTTCTCGGACAAGGGCGAAACATCTCGGAGGTCCTGTGTGCAATTTGAGCACGTTAAAGATCACTTGGTGGTCCAAAATCGATAAGAGTAGACTTCGGTCGCCACCCGGGCAAAATTCAAAATTTCCCACCAACAGAAAATGTTTAAAGTGTCCTGCGCGCTTAAATGACCTTATGCATTTGCGAGTACCGTACAAAATTACCAAAAAAACAACAACAACAAAACAACAACAACAACAACAAGCAAAAAAACCCAAAAAAACAACCAACAAATTTGACCTATTTTTCTTCAGACGGATAAGATTCCTGTAGTACCTCATTGTGCAAGTACGCCTCATCTATGTGCCCTGGTTGGCTGTGAGTGAGTAGTTTACTTGCCCTCACCTGCCGGGATAAAAAAACAACTTACAACGCAATACGTTAATTTTAGACAAGCATTGTGTAGATTTTATCAAAACAAGCAGGAAAGGAAAAACAGGCGCAGATCCAATCTTTCCTCGGACGGTCACAAATTAGTCTCTTAATTCCTCATAGTAACTTCTTAGGATTCCAAGGGATTATCATTTCGCTTCTAAACCACTGGTGATTGAATGACTGAAACTGAAATCAAACTGACCACTTTGTCTAGGTGTATTTCTGCATCTTTTAACCCATACGCCATCAAGACAAAACTAAAAACTCTTTTGTCGATGCACAATTACATTACCACCAACGTATTGTCTTTTCACCTGCTAAATTCATTTACACATAGCTGGTCTTAATATTCCACAACTTTAATTTGCTTTGGCTGGGCTAAGAATATCGGAATTTCTTTCACCAGTATCTGAAGGGAAATTTTATTTCTTATGGAAAGTTCGGAAACATGAATAAGATCTGTTTTTGTAAAAGAATTGTCGCCTAAATCTATCCACATTGACAGGCAGCGCCACACAGACCCAACGTACGCACCACAGTTTGTGGTCGGGAAGGTGCAAGTCTAAAAGACACCTGAAAAAAATCGTCACTGTCACTGACGGATTAAACAACAGTTAGGGACTTTCACAGTGGGTCAAAATCTCCCAAATAAAAGAGCTAAACTATCTATCCCGTATTCCCGAGCGAATAATGCACGGGGCGATTTGGGAGAATTTGTTTGCTGATACATCTCAACTGCTGTATCATCTTTCCGTCGTGCAACAGCAATTAATCTTTTGAAAGCATAATCCGGATGTATGTTCCTGCTTTCGATCAGTTTTTATGTCAAAGGCGTCATCAAAAAGAAAGTAATTAATAGACATTTCTTTGAACGAACGTTTGTTCTGGTCAGCTGGTATGGTTAACTCTAAAGCAGTCTTAATGTAGAGGTATCACTGGCTACGACTCTCCTTCACGAGGACATCAA